TGCGCGTGCCCTGCGCCTCGGGTGCGCGCTGGCCGGCCGCGATTCCGGACGGTTGTGAATGCGTCACGGGGCGGGTCAGGCGCCCGGGCGCGCGCAGAGCCACGGGGACGCGCGACTCAAGGTCCTGGGTACGGAGACCCCTGATATGGGTACAAGACTGCGGGGCCACGCAGCGCGGGAGGACTGGGAGACATGGGAGGACTGGGGGCGTGTGTGCTAGGACAGGAGCCAAAGAAATGCTCAGGCCCAACCGAACCTGATGCCTTCAAGCAACCACTTTGCCACCCACGTTTGGTCACTTTTCCTGTATGCAGGCTGCATTTGGGGAAGAGGGGGTAAGAAAATCAGGGTCATCAAGCCAGCCCCTTCAGTGGTCCAGGAAGACCAATAAGAGGTTACCAGGCATGCTTTATGGGCCACATGCTCCTGGAACAGGCCTGTGGCCTTGAATTTGAATGTCAACAGCGGGGCTCGTGTCTGAAAAAGGCACAGGGATGGCCTCTGTTGGCCCAGAAAGTCAGCACATACTCCTGGTTCATCTTTTTCCATCTGACTTTCCAGGATGGGTGGATCAGCCTCCAGAAGGGCATTCCCAAGATGGCTCCAGGAGGTACCTGCCTCTTCTGCATTCTCTATATCCACCCTTGTCCCTGCTTACGTAGTCTCAAAGTAACCACCAGGTGGTTGGGGTGGGCCATAGTGGCATCCACAGGAGGCTTCCCTTTTGACCTACCATTTGCCCAGTTTCTGGAATGCTGTTGTCCACACTAATAACCTATTTTACACAGGAGGACACTAAGATACCTACAGGTTTAATAACATGCCCAAGGAGACAACTTGGTAATTACCGCAGGACAAGTGAAGCTTGGCTCTAGCAGGGAGCCTGAGCTGCAGCATGCCGGGAGAGCAGTCAGGGAGCACTGGCTGGGTAGTCAGGAATCCTTTCCTGTATCTTGGAATGTGTCCTAGAATGCAGTCCACCTGCCCTCTGTGTCTATATGGTAATACCCTCAAAACAGATCAGTCAGGACTGGCATAGTCATCCACAGTAGTCCCAGGTTGGTGACCATGTTCCACAACCAGACAGCAGCCTCCAGAGAACTGGCAGTCTGGATAAGGTAGAAGTACGTTTCTGTTCCAAAGAAGGGCCAGCAGACAAGGATCTCCATTTCCTGGTAACCCTACAGAGCCAAGTGTCTGTGAACCCAACCTGTCCAGCCTCCTTCCCCTGTACATATGACCTTCTTCAGAAAGTTTGTCAAGGTCTTCCCATAAAGATCCACTTGGAACTTATCCCTAACCCCAACCAGATCAAGGATTGGATTGACCTCAGATACAGACCACGGTCAGCCACAGCTGAGCATATCCCAGGAATATCCAGCTCACACTGTGTGGGAGACAGAGACTCTAGAAACCAGCCCAGCTGAAGCAGTTGGAGAGCAAAGTACACTGGCCCTCCACGGATAGCTCAGTGTCTCAGGACAGGCAGTGTTACCATCAGACTACAGTGGACCATCGGCGCCAGGATGCCATGCATTATAAACTGTTAAGTTGCTGGGCTGCGGTGGCACAGGCCTTTAAATCAGCACTTGGGAGGCAGAGGCGGACAGGTCTGTTTTAGTTCTCTCTTTTGGGACCTCCAGCCACCAAATAATGACACGGAAACTTACTATTTATTTATGAAAAGCTTGACCTTTAGCTAGCTGTTCCCAGCTAGCTCTTATAACTTAAATTAACTAGTTTCTATCAATCTACATTTTCCTAAGTGGCTTTTTACCTCTCCTCCATTCTGTCTGTTCAGATCCCTCTGTATCTCACTGGTGTCTCTCTTGTGTGCCCAGATTCCTCCCTAGTCCCTTCCTACACCCAGAAGTCCTGCCTAACCTTCCCTGCTGTGGCGAGCCTTATTCCTGAGCGGGCATTCTGCCCTTACTTAGAGGTCTGCAAGTAAATACTCAGGATGACCACAGTGTTTGTTCTAGGAACAAGTTTATTATGCCAATAGTCAAATCTCCAATTGTTAGCAGGTATGGGCAAACATCAAAACTATAACAATCATTTAAATCCCTAATTATTCTTATATCAAATATAAGTAAACATCAAACCTATAACAATCCTAGTCAATCAATCACATCACACCTTCAATCATATCACACATTCAGCAAAGGTTCCTATGTGTCCTAGGCAAGGTCTTCTATCCTATCTTACTGAGGCATTGGTGTATACGACCTGATAATGGTCCGTGGCTCTCGACGTAGGCCTCTGGATCAGCAAGTCTTGATCCGCAGGCAAGAGCTAGTTCTCTGGCTCTTGGACGGTCTCAGCTGTGAAGTTGCTGGTTCGTTGGATTCTCTATGACCGCTCTGACAGCATGTCTAGCAAGTCATTTTGAGAATGTCTCCTGGTCGTGAGCCTCAAGTTTTTATACTATTTTGTGGCTATGTTACTTTTTTTTCTTTTTAGATTAACACACATGTCTGCTTATCATATAGTTATGTCACACTTGTTCACCAGCTCAAACTCTTATCACCATTGCACACATTGCTTCATGCTTTTTAGTTTCATTTTGTGTGTGATACCTAATATTGCGTCTTAACATTTCTGGGCTTATTTTTATAAACTCATATCATTTCATTTAATATTGTCTCCTAACACTCCTGGACTTATTTGTCCTTACAGACTCATAACACCTGCCTAGCTATTGGCCATCCAGCTCTTTATTAAACCAACCAGGTCTCTTAGGCAGGCAAGGTAAAAACAGCAATACATCTTTTTACACAGTTTGCTCAAATATCCCGCAACACAGATCTATGAGTTTGAGGCCAGGATCTAAGTGGGCTACGATATGAAAGAGGCTGCCATTCACACGCTGAAACCCTACTGCTGTGAAAAGTGGACACTGATAAAAGGAAGGCACCCTGTGAGTGTTCTTCAGAGCCTGTGCTCAAGCAGTTAACAGAACACACTTTTTCCAAAGGACCTGAGTTTGGGTCTCAGCACCCATGTCAGGTTGCTCGTTACCCCCAGCTCTAGGAGGTCTGGCGCCCTCTTCTGGCCTCCAGGAGTACTGCATCACACATGCTTATTCACACACAGATAAACATATACAGAAAAAACATTGGCCTCAGAGGCCCCTTGGGCATTGACAGAACCTTAGCATGACTTTCATTACTTGAGAATAGTGGCTTGCCTGGTGTAGGGCATCCCATCCTGCCTTCATAGAGCAGACCCAGACACCCCATAATAAGCTGAGGTTGCACATACACACACCTGGCCACACCCCTCCAAGGAGACAGCAGAAGGCAAAGAACACCATCCCGAGAAGATGAAGAACTGGAAAATCAGTAGCAGTATCACTGAGTAGTAGGAAAGTCATGGCTAAGGAACTTCCCATGGAACCTTGTAGAACTCTGGGATCACAGAGAGGGACACAAGGAAGTTGAAGCACTGTGAATCTGCAAGGGTGTACCCATCTGACAACAGTTTCAGAGAAAGGAAACAACAAGGAGGCAGGACACAACTGAAGACACCTCTAGAGAAAGAAATCTGTATGGGGCTAGAGAGATGGCTTAGCGGTTAAGAGCACTGACTGCTCTTCCAGAGGTCCTGAGTTCAATTCCCAGCAACCGCATGGTGGATCACAATGAGATCTGGTGCCCTCTTCTGGCCTACAGGTAAGATACTGTATAAATAATAAATAAATGTTTTAAAAATAAATAAATAAATAAATGCTATTACCTGGGAAGGAAATCAGGTCTCTATGAACACCATTTAAAAAAAATGGAAAAAAATCTGTATGTACAGATGGAACATGCCTTCAAGTACCAAGCAGCCAAAGGAGAAGGTCGCTACTGATGGATTCCAAAGGTTCCTTTCTGTAAAGGACACCCTGCGGCCTCCAACACCTGCTGCACACAGTGGTCCTAGCAGTTGGGGCAGAGGCAGGAAGATCAGGAGTTTGGAGGTCAGTCTGCATTGTAGCGAGAATCCATATCTCAAACTAAATAAAAACCTTTGTTTGGAGATAGGGTTTCTCTTTGTAGCTGTGGCTGTCCTGAAGGTTGTTCTATAGATCAGGCTGGCCTTACTGCATGAGTAAATAAATATTACATTTAAAATTTAAATTAAGCCAGGGGGCGGTGGTGGTGCACGCCTTTAATCCCAGCACTTGGGAGGCAGAGGCAGGCAGATCCCTGTGAGTTCAAGGCCAGCCTGGCCTACAAGACTTAGTTCCAGGACAGGCTTCAAAACTACAGAGAAAACCTGTCTTGAAAAACCAAAAATAAATAATAATAAAAATAAAATTTAAATTAAAAATTTCTTACAGATACCAGGTAGCTACCAACAAGGAGACTTTAAGGGATTAAAAACTCAAGAAAGAAAAGATTATGCCTTGACATCCTCACTACGATGGACCTGGAATTGAGAACCAAACCCTTCCTTCCTTAAGTCACTTTCTTTACGTCAGGGTATTTTGCCATAGCAACGTGAAAGGAAACTAGGACAAGCCTGGAGGAACAAGAGCTACATCCTCAGAAAGAGGCTGGGTAGCTGTATGCTCAGCCTTCGCAGCCCCAAGACCAGCCCAGGCAGTCCAGTTACAATTTGGGCCAAGGTTGCTTGTCCTGCTTCCCACCAACCTAAAACAGAAAGATCTGGGCAGAGACACCACATGGAGATGCTGTGCGGGGACTCCACTCAGCCACGTGGAGATGCTGTGTGGGGACTCCACTCAGCAGATGTGTGCTTGTTCACAACAGCCAGAACTAAAGTTTACAAAGGAAAACCATGTGACTCAGACCAGGAAACAGACCGAGAAATAAGCGCACAGCAGAGGGAGTGGACTTGACTGGACAGACTGGATAGCTGTGACTACTATGTCCAGGAAATGGATCTGGAGACAGACACTTGCACAGAGAAGTGGAACGTATTTCAGAATCCAACTGAAAATCCAAAGCAGAAATTCAACTTGAATTCACTGGATGAGCTTAAGAACAGATTAGATTCAGTGGAAGAGAGGAAGTGTGAACTGGAAGGTAGGGCAGAAGGAAATCTTCAGGCAGCAGCAGGATGATTCAGCAGAGCCCACAGTGAGAGGCCCGGGGCATGGCCCCTGGCGCAGGTCTAAGATGAAGTGAGCCCCTGGTGGGGAGGAAACAGTGTTCAGGAAGTAATATTTGGGTGGGCAGTGGTGGCACACACCTTTAATCCTAGCACTCGGAGGCAGAGGAATGTGGATCTCTGAGTTCGAGGCCAGCCTGGTCTGCAGAGCATGTCCCAGGACAACCAGGATTACACAGAGAAACCTGCCTCGAAAAATTTTTAAAAAGAGATAATATTTGAAGGCATAATAAAAGAGGATTTTTCAAAACTGACCAAAGAGGAACCATGATTGCAGAAATAGCATCCATCCAATAGAAAAGCCCCCCACCCCAACCCACAGTTCTTGTTAGAAGAGAAAAGCCGAAGACATTCCAGCTGCCGTTTGCCAAGTAATGCAAACTTGGGCTTAGGTGTTCATTGTTCACAAAGCAAGACAGTGTTTCCAGAGGAAATAAAGGACTCGCATCCGAGTTTTCAACACAAATGATGGAGAGTAACTGCCCTTGTTACCCATGTAGAAGCTTCTACCAATCAAAGCCTTGTACACAGCAGTGGGCAGAGCACAAGAATTCACCATCATGAGCATATGCCAAAGGAAATTTAATGACAGGATTGCTTCAGCAGGGGAAGCCTAGAAGTCCAGCAAGGAGCCAGCACCACAGAGGGTACTTTTGAAGGGAAGTGATAATAACATAGACAAGAGTAGTCATGCCAGAAGTTCGAAACAAAAGCAGAATATGAACCAGTGCAATACTTACCCGAAGCAGGGACAGCTGAGGTTCCTGTGGTGAAGGAAGTGGTGGAGGGTCGGGCAGATGAGTTCCGGGTCATTTTCGGAAATCCAAATACTCACAGAGCCCACAGCCCCACAGATGCTAAGCAAAAGAGTCATCAAAAGGCCATGAGATGGTCTAGCAAGGCATTTGCCCTACAAGCTTGTTAACCTGAGCTTCATGCCTGAAACCCATGACCGGAGGAGAAAACTGACTCCCGAAAGTTGTCTTCTTTCTCTCTCTCTCTCTCTCTCTCTCTCTCTCTCTCTCACACACACACACACACACACACACACACACACTAACAGTTTACTGCCAAAAGCCCAAATGGAATTCATGACCGAGAAAATCAGGCAAGACCTGTGTGTTGTTTGGTAGGCTGCACACTATAAAAAATCTGAAGTCATCACTCTTACCCAGCAGGGCAAGTTTTTGCGATGTGTTTCCTGGCATAAGTAGACAGCAAGCAATGAAGCCAGGAAAACTTATACATAATGCTTAACATCTGGTGCACACTGTAAAAAAAAAAATGCAGTTCCTGAGATTGAAATCCCAGATAATCACATGCAGCAAGCAGAAGAATGGGAAATGGGAGGGGCACAGAGAGAAGCAAGCCACACATAGCCCTTGCCTGGCTCAAGATGTAAACACAGGTATTAGGTGCTAACAGAATGATGGGCATTTAAATACATAAAAATATTCGTTATGAATATACTTTGCTGTGTCAATATTCAGTTTCAATGAAAAAGTTTGGCAAAGGAAAAAAATTAGAATCAGCTCAAGAAAATTAGAAATAGGGGGCTGGAGAGATGGCTCAAAGGTTAAAAGCATTGCTTGCTCTTCCAGAGGTCATGAGTTCAACTCCCAGCAACTACATGGTGCCTCACACCATGTGGAATGAGATCTGGTGCCCTCTTCTGGCGTTCAGGCAAACATGTAGACAGAACACTGTATATAATAAATAAAATAAATTAGAAATAGCTTTCAAACCGCTAAGGATATCACAACGGCACAAACAAACTCAACCCATTTGACTGGTTTGTAGAAACCATGTCAGGGTGTTCTGGAAGGTTCTTACATGAATTGCAGCTCCCCAGCCTTCACTTGTGCACATGGTGTGAAGTGATTACCATCCACACTGTTTGCAGACAGGGAGAAGATGGTGCGAACACTGGGTGGTCCTACCCAGACCGCACTACATGACAGAGCACTGCCCTCCTTCAAAGAGGAAGAACTAATGATTTGCAGAGCCAGGGCTGTCATCCCCATCACAGAGTTGGGATCAACTGGGTGGTCAGCCAGCTGAAACCCAGACACAAGCCAGACACGAGCATCACTTGTGGCAGACAAAAAAGAAAAAAGAAATAAGAGAGAGGGGGAGGGAGGGAGGAGGCAGATCACTGCCGAAGGGCAGATGTGGACGGATGTGAGCACACAGAGCCCTGAGAGCTGAGCATGCCCTTCAGACCATGGCTGGTTGACTTGACAAAGTGAAGGGTCTAGCCCTAATGCATCATGGCTCTCTGGACAAAGGGACCTTCAGCAGAACTATAATGTAGTGTAGTCCCCAACACCCAAACCCATGAGCACAGCCCAATATACTACTCTTGTGACCTTAGACACACTTAAAAACTCAGATCAAATTCAGCAGTGTCATGACATGGAGAGACCACATCCAGGTCGCCTCCACGCAGACTGGGTTCTGCTCAGTGCTCCAACTCAAAGCCCAGTTTCATCCAGAAAGAGTGTCCACCAGATCTGTGATGCTCTTTGAGGAAGCCAGTTTGGTGCAGATCTCCTGGTTTGTGGACGGAACACTGCAGATCCAGAGCTCTGGGTCAGACGGTAAATTTTTGTGATAGTTCAAAGGAAGCGGACACTGGGACGAGGCCTCAGAGGTAGTCTTTGGGGTGGAGGGTCTCTCAGGGTTGCAGTGTGGGGAGCGGGAAGAGGAGGCAGAGAATGAAGAGATGCCAAGAACGGCTGAGAATCTGGCTAGCATGCTCAGAGACCCAGTGGCTTCTCCTGAGGAATCCAGGACTGAGTGATGAGTGGGTCACACTGGCTTGGCTGCTCATTCTGGTTCTGGGTCCTACCCAGAGTGCACTGTTGACCAGCGCTGAGCAGCCGCCCATTGCTTATTCTCTCCTCTGGCTGCATGGCTCTCCATCCACTTTCACCATGTTCCCTCTGGCTGTGGATGGTACTGGTGATTGTGGGAGACCTTTCCCGGAACACTGAGGTGGAGCAGGAGACATAGCAGCCCTTGATCAACCCTGTCTGAACCCCAGCTGTGAGCCTACCCTGCCTCCTTCCTTTCGCTTGAGCTCCAAAGGTGGGACCAGAACTCAGAGCTTAAGCTGACTCTTACAAAGTGCAAGGCTGCTTGTTCTTTGAGTACCACTTGTGGGACTGCGAGGTGGTTACAGGTGACAGACAGGTCAGGTCCTGACACAGTCGCTGACAGCATCATGACACTGATGTACCTGCCGCCACCCCAGCATGCTCCCGTCTGCAGACAAAGGAAATTGCTAGTTAAACTTTTCTTCAACCCAACTACATTGTGCTATTTTCCCACGAGTGAATCTAAAAGCCCAAGCTGAGGATGTCCTTGGACCTAAAACCGTTCCCAGGTAGCTCCCATGGAACATTTAGGGATTCAGCACATCTATTATCTTTGCCAACTGAACTCCCAGAATTCCTATTGGCTTCCTATTTCCTAGCCCGTTACTATTTTTGGTGCCAATTACTAAAAACATCATTTGCCCAGAGTAATCTACATATTACTCTGTTCTGTGGTCCCAACAAGTGCAGCGCACTTCCTGACCAGCAGGAATGAACGGCCACGAAATCGAGATTCCTTTCCTTATCACGTCTTTATTCGGAGCCACTCGGTTGAGGAAAATTGGGGGAAGGGAAGAGAGAGAAAAGACAGAGAGAGGGAGAGCAAGGGAGAGAGGAAGAGAGAGAGCAGGAAGCCAGAGAGAGAGATGAGAGAGCGCAGGGATGAGAGAGAGAGAGAGAGAGAGAGAGAGAGAGAGAGATTAGAGAGAGCGAAAAACCCAAAGGCAGCTGCTTTTCTAGGGTGAGAGGCTCGAATGCTGATTGGTTGATGCCATTCTGCTAGGGCCCAAGGCCACAGGACAGGTCAGGGAACCAAGTCTCTGAAATGCAAAACAAGGCCCCAAGCACACTGGCCTGGATGGCAGCATCAAAGGATTTGTATACCTCCAGGCTGTAGGACTGCTGGCACTGTGGCGGCTCCTTACAAACAAGACTGGGTGAGTGGGCTCCTGCCTGCTCAGCGATGTGACCCGTCCTCACTTGTGTCATGCAGCCTGGGCAGAGTGCTGTCAGCAGGTCGACACTCCGGAGCTTCCATGGGTGCATCTGTCCCAGGGCTTGTTTCCCAGGAAACAGGTCTGTACAGGCACACGCCTCAAGAGGGCAGACTTACTGCAGCGTGAACCCTGAGCAGACAGACTGCTGTCAGCCTCCTTTCTGCTGCAGCTTTCAGGAGAATCATTACTTCTGGTTCCTGGACTTTCAGGCCGGTGTCCCGTACTCCGGTGTTAACCTGAAAGCCTGGGAGCCAGTTGAGCCCCGAGTGTCTCTTTCTCCTCTACTACAAAGAACAGGTTCAAGCAGCCAGTGTGAACTCGGGGACTGAGGACCCAGACTCAGTGACACCCAACCAGCAGCCTCTCCACTTCAGACACCAGGGCTGAAGGAGCCAGGCGCTACCCGCCAGGGGAGGGTGCCCGGTGACAGCCATGCAGAGCAACTTCTGACGTCTTTGTACCAAGACAAAAGCAGAATGCTGAACATGTCGGGGTGGGACTGGACAGGGTGGGTGACAATGAGGACCTTTCTACAATGAGGGCAGGAGTATTGACCACTCCAGGACTGGCCTACTCAGCCCCTGTGGGGCATGGTACCCAGCTCACAGGGCAAGTCCATTTAACTCAACTGGAAAGCTCACACCCCAGCTCACCCTTGAGACAAAGCAGAGAGAAAGAAATCAGTCTTAGTCAACCATTTATTGAAAAGTGGTTAAAAAGTAAGGCACTGGGTGTGGTGGTCTCAGGTGCGGGGCTGTGGCTGCTCTTCGTGCTGCTCAGAGGCGGGCACAGGGCAGTCCGGCGGGCACCTGCTGCATGTCTACACTGGAGAATTAAATACTCTGCATTTAGCAGCTGGTGACTCTATCATCAGCTCAGCAACCTAACAGGCATGACTTATACATGCTACATACTATACAACGCTCATCAAGGCCTGCGAGGAGGGCTCCTTTATCAGCTGACAGTAGAAAGGCAAATCTCAATGGCTGCTGTAATATTTAAATGTTTGATGATGCGTCGAATTACATCAGATGCCTAACAAGGCAGAAAGAGAGCGCTAAAGGTCATTCCCTTAGTTTCTGAAAATTGGATGGGAGAGGTGTCACCCTGGGCAGAGTGACAGAGTTGAAAAGGTTACTGAACTGCTGGGTGAGGTGTCTAGGAATGAAGGAGCCTGCAGTAAGGTCACCTCATCTGCTGGTGGCTGCTTTCCTAGGGGGAGTATCTTTCCTTCTTACCCTGCCATCAAGCTTGTGACACAACTGGATTTCAGAGAAATGTGCACTGTGGAGAGCATTATGGGGACTCTTGTGTCCCCTGACAAGCTTCACGATGATGTGTCAGATACAGTGAGCCAAGACACGGCTGGAAGCAGGATGTGAAGTGAGGTGGGTGTGTATGTCCGCTCAGGCAGTTTTTCTGGTAGGCAGTACAGGCTGGGGTCCTACATACTCAGCTTCCACAATGGGCTGACCGGTGGACAAGCTGTTCAACCTCCATGATATACACAGGGCCAACCGGGCAGCCTGTCAGGTAGGGGGAAAATGTCCAACATCTGCACAAAAGCCCTTCTGAGGACATGTGACTCCACACATCACCACAGAGGAGAAGCCTGAGGCAGGCGACTCAGCATGCACAGGAAGATCAAACTGAACTCACAACTCAGATTTCCCATGGGGGAAAAGGTTCTCCATCTATTAGAGACAGCTGAAAAATGCCATCCAAGAAGAGGCCTGGACTTTTCATGAAAGGTTTTGGTAAGACTGTTTCCTGAGGGACTAGAGACCTTATATGTTCCTGTGTTACTGGAGACATTGTCTTCCAAAAGTCACCCAAACTAAAGCAATGACATGTCACAGAAATGGACTTACAGTCACAACATAGCCTTGGGAAAGCAAGGATGGTGGGTCAATTCTTGCCCCAACAAAGTAAATATGACTTCATTTGTTGCAATGCGAATCTAATAGCAAGGCCACTCGGCAGCCAGTCAGCAGCTCAGGCTTTGTAAAAGTGTGGGGCCTGAGTACATTTCCTCCCCCAAAAAGGGACGTCATCAAGACTAAGTCTTGGGTGATTACATACAGAGATAGAGGGAACAAGAGCAGGACTGTCCTCTCAAGGCCACTCTGGTGCCTGTGCTGAGGCTGGAAGGAAGAGCCAGGTCATATGACTCAGGTCATGGGTGGCTGTAGTGGTAAGGTCTCCGCAGGCTATGCTGAGGATGGCACTCCCAGAAAACTCTGGAACCGCAAGGTCTGCCGCAAGTGTGTGCCAGCTGCTCTAGAACTTCTCATATGGGTTCTGCTCTTTAAACAGACCTGAAGGAGAAACACAAAAACGTGACTTACAACCTCACCTACTCCACCACAGACAAAACTCACAAAAACGATGTGTTTCCGCGATCCTA